TTTTTTTTTTATTCTTTACATGCGCATATGTTTACATATCGATAGACGTATTTACATTGATAACTATTTCTTTAATCGATTTCCAATGTTTTCAAACTCTGGCAAATTTTATCCGGCTCTCGGTTGGTTTCTGTTATTGTTGCAGCTTTTAGTTTCTTGCTTTTGTCGATCTTCCACGCATCGGGGTTCATCAAGTAATCTCTGAAAAGTGTTTCTTCATTCTAACAACTGAAATTTAGTGCCCAATCATACATTTCGAACTCAAGTGGTCTTTGTATCAAAGATTGTGAGGAGGCTGGCAAACCGAAGCTTCGTAATGTGTCGAATTAATTTCATACCATATGGGGTACCTGAAGCTATGGCAATTGCAAGCAGTTTTCACTACACTCGAATATGTGACTGAGCTTCGAAATACATGATGTGGCCATACATTTTCCCTTGACAATTACCTTTTCTCTATCAGCAATTTAACCCATTTTTCTTTCAAGTCAGCCATTTTTCCCGCTGCTCCGCCATATTCCTCCGGTAGCATTTCACGCGGGAAGTAATTGTACGGTGTATCGGCATTGGGTAGATGGAAATTGATCTTTGCGGGGAAAAGGCATTTTTTAATTCAAACATTATTTAGCAAGCGCGCTACAACCTCTCCCCGGCCACTTACCAATTTAAAAACCTCACTTTTAATGAACGGCTTCACCACAGTCAGCACCTTATCCAGATAGGAGGGGCAGTTGAGCACGTGTATGGCCTTCAAGCGCACCGGATGTGCCTCTTGCACGAACTTCATATAAACGCGAAGCGAACTGAAGACCGTGCGCGCCACATGCCGTAAGCTGTAGCCAGCCATGTCGAAAATGGGTACCTCACCGTCGCACATGCCCGCCTCATCGGGTACGACAAAGCGCAGATCCGCCATCATGAAGAACACTTTGATACTGGCCGTAAAATTGAACTAAAATTCAAATATTTAATACGATTTTTTGGAATATTTGCTATTCATATATTTCATAGTAATTGCAACGATAAAAACAACAAGTATCACACCTTATCGGCCTCATAGTCGGTTAGGCGGTAGAAGAGCAGCTTATTTTTGTCCGGTGTCAACCCAGGCAACGGCACTAAATCGCTGAAAATCGTAGTTTTTATAAGAAAAATAAAAGTCGTAATATTTAAGCCGTTATGCATAAAATTGTCAAAACTCATATCCAAGTTTATTAAAAAATAAATCCGTTGCACAAAGATTTTTCGCAACAACTGGTTTGGCCACCTTAACATCGTCGACCGACCACTGAAGGTGCAAAACTATCGATGGAACTATCGATAGTATCGATGTTTTTTTTATTTTTCGCTACCATCGATTGTTGTTTGGTCCTATCGATCGTCCGACAGACATGTTTATTTATTCTTTTATTTTCGTTTCTCATAAACATCCAAGTTGAACTAAAAATTTGGTTGCTACTTTTTTAAGAGAGTAATGAAAAATTTCGAAAAGTACGGAAAACCTTGCATCTTTATATCGCTTACTCCAGTAAAAAAACTGATACAACTTAACTTATAGGAAAACTTTAATATTATCTACTCACCACTATTTACTATTTAATAGAAGGTAAATAAAAACCATTACTTTTCAGATAAAAAGAAATGACTTCGTGTTCGAAATTTTCAATCTACATCCTGAATGCCTTATATATGACTTAGGATATCTAAAACCACGAATATAAAATTTTAGGACGCCCATTTTTTCAATTTCAATTAATTTCAAATTTTCAATAACTTTACTTCTAACTTAACAAATAAACAATTAAAAAAATGTGTCCAGTAGTTTACAAGGGTGTCCAAACGTCTTTCCGAATATATTTTTAAGCAAATCATCATACTAAAATTGAGCGAAAACAATATAAATACGCTTCTAATCGACGATATATCGATAGTTTTGACAATAATATCGAATGCTATTGATAGATTCTGACTATCGATAGTTTTGCACCTCTACCGTTCACCGCTATTACGCTACTCACGCTACTTGCAACAGCTGCTGTGACTCTTGATCGG